CCCCAAAACCCCAAAACCCCAAAACCCCAAAACCCCAAAACCCCTCTGTTAGCATCAAATGTTGAGATATATTTTATCGAGCTAAATTTTATTACTTCTGAACTTATTCAACAAACTCTTCATCTTCAAGGAGTTCCTGACATCTGGCGAGACTCCATTTAGAGTATCTTCATTGTTCCTTTCAGTCACTCTCGTAGATCTTGATTTAGATTTACTCTGATGGATATCTTTACGGGCTTTAACTAGATCCATCATTTTCTTGTTTCTCGAAAGGAAATCCGCTTTCTCTGTAGACTTCTTATAACCTTGATGAGCATTATTGAGTCTTGATAGTTGCCTCACATTCTTCTTCTTTGCCTTAAGACTTGGACCAAAAGCCTTATGAGCGTTATCTATAGGATTTTAGTCAGAAGTTATACAGGATTTTGGTTTTGCAGCGACCTTCTCTTTAAGCCAACTCTTGCTTAATTTCTTAAGCTCGGTTCTGAATTTCTCTCCTGAAGGATTTCTACAAAAGTGTTTAAACACAACTTACCTCATGAAGGCAGAAATTTCAGAAGCTGTTGTTTTCTTATTCTGTTGAGAAGACTTAAACCCTTCTTTAGTCGAAGCACTTGGTATAAGTGCCTTCTTATTGGAGAACTTTTGCCCTCTGATAGGTTTAGAACCAAGATGATTCTTTTTAGTTACTATGGGCTTAACAGGAGCACCAATTTTAGAAGAGATGCTTTCCTTTCTCTTCATTGATCTGTGCTTGCTCCTTGTAGCACGATCCCTTCTCTTCTTTGCTTGAGGCTTAGCTATTGGAGTCTTCACTGGAGTTCAACTCATATCTGATAAGGTAAAATCTATTGTCTGATTACAATACTTCTGGATTTTAGCAGTGTGTTTTGGAGAAAAATATGTATTTTCTGAAAGTCGAGTAGGTCCAACAGCCGAAATCTTCATTTCCTTCTTCCAATTTCAAGGAGTTGGAGTACTTTGTTGGGGGTGGAGTTTTGGCATTTCTGGAATCGAATTTTTCATAACGTGTATTTCACATTCATTAATTTCAGCCTCACCAAAAATGTCTATGGTATCTTGGTTAGATATCTGTTTAGGGTGATTCTTGCTTTGGAATGAAGAAGAGAGGTCATTCTGCAAGTCTCATTTAACTGAATCTAGAGTATTTTGTTTTATTGTTGGCTAAAAATCAGATATGGCTATTACCTTAAAAGCCTCTTTAGTCTTTGAACTAGTGTCGCTATCAGTATTAGCACAATTAGTAGAAGGGGAATTCATCATCACCAAATTATTAGAAATTTCTGCAAGTTTGCTCAACCTCTGATACTCATTTTCATCATCAACTTGGTCAATACTGTCCACAATTCTTTGGAATTTTCGTTTGAGTTCGTACACTTTGTCATCTTTCCGTTGGTTCTCTCTATATTCCAAATATAACTAATCTCAGTGTTGATTGATAAAGTGTGGGCACTTACCTCTCTGTGTAATCCCCTCCCTTGAGTCTTCTTGCGATGGTATTCGAAGTGTAATAGTTCTTCAACTTGCTGTAATAATTCATTATTTTAGCTAAAACTATATAAATTAGATTTCAGAAATTTTAGATATCAATTTATTCAATATAAAATTGATAAAGAGGGGTTTTGGGGTTTTGGGGTTTTGGGGTTTTGGGG